CGAATGCTGAGTTAAGAGCGAGGTACAAGGAAATAGATGTATCAACATTCGTAAAAGTATCAAGACTTTGCTGGGCTGGTCACGTCATAAGGATGGATCTAAACGAAGTTCCTTACAAGATCTTAGCTGGGCTTTGCTGGGAAGACTGCATGGCTGCAGACGCGAGATCTCTGCTCGGTGTTATGAACTGGAAGGCAGCAGCATGGAACAGGGAGGACTGGCAGTCTAAGCTTCAGCAGGCTATGACTCAACAAGTGGGTCGTAATGCCGAATAAGAAGAAGACAACTAGGCTGGGGAGAGAATGACTCGCACCGTGTTTATGTGAGTGAAGCCATGATGCCAGCCAATAAACACCTGTATTGGTTAGCCAGACAGAAGAGGATGACTGCAAAAATAAAATATGTTTGGTTTAGTGGAGGTAAAATTCACTGAGGACAGTCAGATGGATTTCCACTGGTGATTACAGGAAAACCGAGTGACCTGGACGTATTCAGTTGAATATTGTACATAAATTACCCTGAGTTTGTATTCTATTTATTTTTTCTCGCTAGAAACATTTTTATTTTTATTTTTACTATCTTCAGGTTCATATATCTACTTAAAGATCATATATCTACTACAGTGTCTTTTCTTTATTTTAATATTAGGGTTAGACAACTTTGTAAATTAATTTATTTTTAATTGTACTCTAATGCCAGACAATTGTCATTACATTATTCATTGTCAGTTCATTATAGTTATTCTGAAGGGGGCGGGGTGGCCGAATGGGCTAAAGCGTGTTCATTGCACTGTGAGTTGCCTGGCAACCGGATAAGAGATTTGAGAAGATTAAAAAGTAGTATGAGTTCGCATCCCGGTGCCGGAGGGGATTTTAAATTCCCTGCCCTCACCCTCCGGCCCAGGAAAATCCCGTATAGCCTTAAAGGCGACGTAGGGAAGAACAAAAAAAAAAAAAAAAAAAAAAATAGTTATTCTGAGAGGACTAAATGTCCCAGAATAAAATTCAATTTCTTTCTTTCCTACATGATAATCCCTTAAAATTTTATCCCACCATTAAGAACCAAGGAATAAGAACCTTTAATCATACCCCTGGAAAAACCATGTATCCAATATCTCCCACCGTACCCTTTCTTCCTTAAAACGTCTGAATTACCTCCGTCACCTATTTCCATTTGAAACCTGTAGGCTCCTAGTCACGCCCTTAATATTTCCCCACTTTGATTATTGCTGTATGGTATATGGGGGCGTCTCTGGAGATCTCAAAGTAAAACTAAAACATTTGATAAATTTCTTAGTATGATTCATTTCCGGGATACCAAGAGACACCTGTTTCCTAATTTTATGAAGAGTTGAAGCGGCTTTATCCTTCCTACCGTTGTAAGCATTTCCTGGCATCCTTCCTCTTTCAAGTCATACAATCTCGCCGTGCTTCACACATCTCCGAACTCCTTCAATTCAAATCCTCAATTTATTCCAGCAGTACCCGCTCTAGGTATTCAGATCTATATATTACGGCCCACCGAACCACTGCTTTCGACATATCGATCATTATCTGATCCTGGCTCCTGTGGATCCCTTCCTACAGCTGTTGCTCCAATACCTTCCCTACCTTTAAATCCCATGTGTTTAATCATTTTTTATCCAGCCAGTTTCCATAAAATTGTAAATATATATTACTGTAAATATTGTAATGTAAATATTACATAGTGATTTTAAACAGTGGCATGAAAGCAGTAACGTCACGAACTACTGTCAAGGAGTGTACAAAGAGGCGGAGGAAGACAGATGGAAGGGAAAGCAAGGGCCATATGTTAAGGGAGAAAGTAACCAGCTGGCAAGGAAAGAGGATTGAGACTAGCAGAGAGTGACAGTTGACCAACAAGTAGTGAGTGTCTGGACGAGTAAAGGAAAATAGAATATTAAGAGAAGATAATTGTAGAAGTTGAATACAACAATACTTTCAACAACAATTGGAGGAAGATTCACTGCAGAACAGGGTGAGTGCAAATTCAATAGTGTCAATTAGAAAGCACGCTATGAGTAGTCCAGACAAACAATGGAAATTCATGTAAATGTTATGTACAATTAATGTATGCTTTTATATTGTATAATTAAGGATGTGTGTTTGTTGTCTCAACCATACCTGAGAAATAATTATTGTGTAAAATAAATATAATTTGATTCAGAAACTGTTTTGCTTACTTTTCAAAAGAAACATAACCTTATCATATATAAAGAAGCTTAACATATATATAAAGAAGCTCTATGAATTATGATAAAATAAAGTCAAAAGGGCGATATATGAGTATGTACTCTCATGTATGTTTATATTGATTCCATAGTGACCGATTGGCCCATTTATTATCAGTATAAAAATATCCCATGTGAAACTCTATAATTTGTGATAAAATAAAGTCAAAAGGCCGATATATTGGCCCATGAATTGGACTGAAAAACATTTGGAAGAAGAAAAGCACAAAATTAAAAAGAAAGGAGATTGGTAGAGTTTGATATTTAATTTTTAAAATGAAGTCTTGAGGCTAACATGTAGCTCAGCACCACCGTTGCCCAGCTTCTTAATATATGAGATAATTTTATACAAATAGTTACAAGTTAGCGTCCTTGTGCCATAGGGAGAATTTTAACTCTGGCATCACCGCCTTTCCCCCTGGCCCAGGAAAGCACCTTATAGTCTAAAATGCAAGGAAGGGGTGGATCCTGAAAAGAAAAAAAAAAACTAAAACAATGAGGACGATTTATCTCTCCTTGCTCAAATTTATGTATATGTCAATACCTTGCAACTGATTGACACATTTATTAGCAAAAGAAATAATATTTATTCCATGTAAAACTTTATGGATCATGATAAAATTAGGTCGTAAAGCCGATATATCGGTGTTTAGAATATCGGCATTTGCTCAAATTTTGAAGAAAAGTGGATAAAAAAAAAATATATACATTTTAAAAAATGGTCGAACTGTACTAATTTCGATAAAATCAAGTCATCAGGCCAATATATCATTATGATTAATTGTCACTTACATTCAGCAATTACGAGAATTTTCTATGGGATATTGTACTGAACTAGACTTTAGTAGACATCCCCCTGTATTTACTACTCAATTGTGCAGTGGACAAATTGCTCATTGGAAAATCTCATATCGATAAACAATCGAAAAGAAGAAAAGGTCCGATCAGGTAGCTAGCAACAGATGGTGAGGAGGAGGCCAGGGACTTGAGGCAAAAGGACAGATGAGAGAGGTAGTCATCTGGGAAGAGAGGCCTACTACATTGAAGACCAAGAATATCAAGCCTACAGTTATAAGACTTTTATACATTACTTTATTACAATTATAAAATAAATTGTTTTATTATACAGGAGTGAAAGTCATTTTATTTAGTTGTCCTATATGTCTCACAATTGAAGAATAAACCAGGTGAGTCAATTAATTCAAAGTGTTTACTAAGTCCCACATTTCATATATATATATATATTCTTATTGTTTCTTCTCACACAGTGTCACAAAAGGTAATAGATCCCCGAATTCCTAATCACAGTTAAACACCCTCAAAAAGTCGATATCCAGTGCCGGGGTTTTGTTTTAATAATTCACGAGTGTAAATAACCTTAAGCCCCGATATAAAAGCGGAAGGCTATTCGCTATTCCCGCCAAAACATCTTTATTTTACATTTAACTTCCTGTAGGTTATTTACAAGACCTATAGAAACAAATGACCATTATGCTGAAATATATGTTTATATATCATTTATTGGTCGATTTGTATATAGGATAAAATTTGTGTATAGGACGATGCGTAGATGGTTTATTTATTCTTTTATTTATCAATAAGTAAGATATTCCATGTGAAACTGTACAAATCTTGACAGAAAAGTGAAAAAAAGGCCGAATGGCCGATATAAATAAATTTCTTTTGACCAATATCTTTTAATGGTTGAAATTTGTTTATAGGCCGATGCGTAGATGGTCTATTTATTCTTTTATGTAGCAGTGAGTGGGATTCCATGTGGAACTGTACAAATCTTGACGGAAAAGACAACTTTTTTCTGCGACAACTTTCTCATTTTTCTTTAATTTAATTTTTGTTTTAATATTCAGTCATAACTCCTTTATTATTTAATATTTATCATTTATGATCTCTGGATTATACTATCCCCAGATATTCCATTTCCATTCAATTACACATTTAATTAGTGAGCACATATAATTTATCTACAATAAATCTCTCAACCATTATATACTTTTCTGTGCTTTAGTTCCACTGTTTCCTCTTCAAATAATTTTGTGTTGTAGGAACCTCTAGTGAATCCAGGTTGGTCTTCTTCTTTTATTTCAGTATCCTCCTCATTTACCTTTTTTTCTTTACTTATTTTTCCATATTCCTACGTCTATTTTGTGTATATTGATACATTTACTCATTACATCTTATTTTAATAATTTACATAATTTTAGCTTTGTATTTCTCTTCTATACAGTCAGTATGTTTTGATAGATTTTACAGTATCTTAATTTTTATATTTAAATCTATTATTTTCTTTATATAACTTCATATCCCTTTTCTCTGTTTTACTATTACTGTTATTAATTTTTTTCATATGTTCGTTACATTATTATTATTGATATTATTTTTGTAAGTTAATAGTTTCTCATGTTGTTATCTGGTCTTTTCTTAGTCCTGATGAAAGTCTGAACTTTAAGTCGAAATGTCGGCAAATTTAAAAATAAATATCATTTATTAATTTTTAATTTTTTTTTCACGGAACACCCCAACCAACTTCTCTTAAATTATTCACTACAGTAAACCATTAATCCACTATTATGTTAAATACATTTGTTTAACCAAGGAAATTGACTCTAATTATATTTTAAAAAAAAATAAAGTTAATATATAATACTGTCAAAAGGCAGGAACACATACAGTAAAGATCTTGAAGCTTAGGGATTATAATTTGTTTATAGTAATAACAAAGAAGACATACCAGAAGTTACAATTATTTTTTGATTTTCACCATTTTCAGCTGCTTTGACAATTGTTTCTTCCTCATCTGCTACTGTTGTCCAATAAACATTAACACCATCATATGTTACTCCTGTTGCATGTGGTAGATTTTCTACTACTTTAAAGTAGACTTCAGAGTCTAAATAATATCCTCTTATTTCTTGGTTTGAAGTGAAAAATAATATGCCTTCACTTCCTGGAATTCATAAAAATAATCAACATAACAATGTTCAATGTACAAGTAGGTAGAAAAAAATGAGATTGTCATTATTTTAATTCATTAGTATTATAATACCTATTTATTTTTATAATAATTCAATTAGTGTTTATGAATATCAATGAAATGTCTATTAAAAATGAAATATTCACCTTTAACTTTAAATATCATGCCTAATATATAAATATTTTCCTAAGCTAAGACTTCCGTTCAACTGTGATCTTAAGTTTTCGAGATAAATGATCGAATGTTTTATAATAAGATTAAAGAAAAATTCTTTTAGTTTCTATATATTCATTTACCTTTAGCTTTGCATTTGTTCAAATCAATATTAAATTTATAGCCTTCAATACAGGAGCAATTGTAGCCTCCAATTGTGTTCATACATATTTGGTCACAACTTCCAAATGATAAACATTCATCTATATCTACAAAGGGTGAAAACATATTTATTGTTTTAATTAACATGGATCTTTTAAAATATAAAAATATTTAATATTATATAATCAAAATAGGTTTGGCACTAAATATTGTAACATACCTCTTATATGTTACAAATAATAATAATAATATAACTTCGGAAGCTCACTTCTTACCATTAGGATACTTCCAAAAGAAATAAAAGGTTGTTATAATAATAAACAAAATTATAAGAGTATTAATATATTTATTTATCTGAGGCGTGGGTTATTGACAATCAGATCAACTCAGACGAACTATTATTATTTACACTAAAATTAAACACTAATTTTAAAATAAAGTCAATTATGGATTGGCAAGCTAACCTTTTTCTATATTATATGTTTCTTCCTTTGTGACACTGAACTCATTTGTCTTCAAACACTTTCCAAAGTTCTGCCAAACACATCTTCCAAAATGGTAATACTATTACTGGGATTCACCCACTGGAGCCAGGATTCTTTCTCCTATCCTCTCTTCACTACAGTCACACAACAACTGCTCGCCAAAACAAAAACCTTTGTCCCTCTCCTCATTGGGACTTTCCTTCTTGAGAAACTACAGAGCAGCCGTTTTCTTTTCCATGCACTAGCAGAACTAGATTAGCTTGCCTTTTAATTGTTCAACATTAATTTATTAAACCATTTTTACCCATTTCCAATAAAGGTGTATATTACAATATACATTAATTAATAACTTAATATCAATATCAAATTAAGCATTAATAATTTCCAGGATCAAAAAATAATAGGGTGTATAAAAAAAAGACCGTTATATCAAATTCAAGATTTCAAAGGACTGTAAATATTTTAATCAAATTTAATACTTAATAATCCCTTTAGAGCATTCTCTAAGCTTGTTTAATCCCATTCGACTTCTTCAAAAAAAGCCTTAGTTTATTATTTGTTTCAAAGAAGAAACATGATCAGTGTCCTATGAAATTCTCATCATTTTAAAGTATTACTGGGTATAAAATTTCACAGCTGCAGAAGCAACTTGTAAAATTATTAAATAAGAAGGGAAAAGTGTCCTTGACTAATGCACTGCACGGCATTGGTTTAAAAAATTTAACAGTGGAGATACGACGTTGGAAAGGAAGAAGGGCTCTAGGCGACCATTAATGAACTATTATGATGAGGTTCTGAAAAAAGCTGTTGAGTCAAATCTGTCGACAAGTACTCACGAACTTGCCAAGGTGTTTGGTGTGTTGAAATAGATACTGTTAGTCGCCATCTACTCTCCATGGGGAAGGTGAAAAAGAGCAGTAGACTGATCTTCACAAATTGACACCTCAGAAATAAGCTAAGAGGTTAGAAATTACTGAAAATTTATTGAAAAACCCTTCTGATATGAGATTTTATAGTACCACCATATAGTACAGACCTCACACCATTGGATTAATACTTATTTAGATTGATGGCCCATTTTCTTCAAGGGAAAAAATTTGAGAATTTCGCGGAAGTTAAAATTGCAGTCCAAGAGTTCTTGACAGCCATCCCGAAAAATGGTATCAGCTTGGGATCGAGCAATTGGCTAGCAGATAGCTAATGACAGTAGATAACAATGGACTATACTCTGAGTATCAATTGTATTTTATATCAAAGAAATAATAATACAAATATTTGGTTGAAAAACGGTCTTTTTTTTATACAGCTTATTATATGCTTTAAATAAGTTGAATCAAGAGTTATCAGATTGACTTACCCACAATTTATAATATAAAAGTGATTACAGAGTAATAATATAAAGTTAATTATATCATAATGAATAATAATAATAATAATCATAATTAATAATATTATCTTATAGAGTGAATTGACCCATACAATAGAAAAAGTTTTTGTATGAGGTAGAACAAGATTTTAAATAGATGTTTATTACTACAGCTTTTATAATTATTTATTTTGTCATGAAGTTAACCATAATTATTACAATTTTTGTTATAAATTAGTTTGTATCTTGTTAAACACATTTTGCAGACAAATGTCTTTCTTTTCAAATAAAAGGTTTTTTTTTTTTATAATAGTTTTATTCGCCCAATTGAGATAAAAATTGACATGTGAGCAAAGCCGTATGTTGGAGACCTGCTGCTTGAATTTGGAAAAAATCAAACAAAGAACTTCTCCAGGACCAGAAGGTAAAGGAATCAGTGTGCCTATGGGACCGAGGTTCTTAACGCTCTGCAGCATAGGACATGTCGGCACTTCTCAGCAGCCGCCTCTATCCAGCGAGGTCGGTGTTGTCTTATCAATTCCTACAGCTGTCACCGAAAGAGCCCAACCTATTTTTTTTTTGTCAATTAATCTTATCATTTGTTTTATTATTTTTTTTTATTTTCTCTCTCCTCTCTTATTTAAGAAAAAAAAATATATACACTGACAGGCAAAAAATTCCATCCACTTGATTTTTTCATGTTTTCATCTAAAAATATTTCTGCCACTTGTAAAAAAAGTTGTATTTGTATATAATACATGGTATTTGTAGATAATACTTAGTATTTATGGAATTTTATAATCTTTTTTACCTTTAATAATCAAAATGTGATTGGGTAAGAAAGATTAGAGAAAAAAAAATTGAAAAACAAACCATTATTATTCTAAAAGAAATTAATTACATCATCGTTTAGTAGCGCATGTTTCCTCCTCTTGCCTTCACTACTTCTTGAAGACGCCTCGGCATACTTTCCACCAGTCGGGCAATGTCCCTTTGCTGGAGGATAGCCCATTCCTCCCGAAGAACCCTTTCAAGGTCCCACAGTATATCAGGAAGGGTTGCACACAATCTTATTCGTCTTCCGAGGTGTTAATGCTCAATGGGGTTCAAATCTGGAGAACGTGCTGGCCAGGCTGAAACCTCAATATTGTTCTGTTGAAGGAACGTCTACCCTATGCGGGCGACATGGGGGCGTGCATTATCGTGCATTAGAATAGAACGATTTTGTTGAGGATAGGCAACACATGAGGTTCCAAAATCTCATCTACATAGTGAATGGTCGTCAATCAACAACCAATTCTGTGTGGCACTCCATTGAAATCCCAGCCCACACCATTAAGGAACCATGTTGGAAAGGTTGGCTCTGGGAAAAATTACAGGCTGCATATCTTTTGTTTCTTCTTCTCCACACCCTTTCACGCCCGTCTGGAGATTGAAGAGCGAATCTTGACTCATCTGTAAAAAGTACAGTACTCCATTCGTCCATAGTCCAATGGCTGTGTTCTCGAGCAAAAGCCAGACGAAAAGCCATTAATCCATACTCATTTAATCTTCCCCAAGCGGTACGTTCAGAAATTTGCACACCTCGAACTTCTTCGAGCTGATGAATCGCTTGAACAACAGTAAGGTGCTGGTTTCGTAAAATTCTCAAAGTCAAAAACTGGTCATCCCGTGGTTCTGTTACCCTAGGCCGTCCAGAACCAGGCTTTCAATTGTAAGAACCAGTTTCCCAAAACGCCTGACGGCGTCTCGTAAAGTTTCATATGGAACTCCAATGGCATTAGCTGCATATCTAATGGAACGTCCATCATCAATAAGTGCCACAACACGCGCAACATCCTCAGCACTAAGAGGCATTTTAAAACTTAATATTGAAAAAATTAAAAGCCGGAGACTAAGAAATGTGCTGCAAGAAACGGCACTGAACTAATGATACTGAATAAACATTTTGATTCCATAGAAAGTAAACATTGGAATCTAGAATCATTTCATTGAATTAAGGATTAAGGGTTATTGTCCTCTATATTAACATTCCTAATTGAAAACAAACAAAAAGATTACATATTTATTCATTAAAAACAACAGACCAATCCAAAGCAGAAATATTTTTAGATGAAAATATCAAGTGGGTGGAATTTTTTTCCTGTCAGTGTATATATGCATATTTGCTTTAATATGTTTGAAAACGGATTTTGCTTTCGAATAAAAATTGGTTGATCACAAGATAGCTTAATTATTCAAATTAATGAATTATTATTTAGCTTTACCAATTAATTTATTTATTCAATTTTATTTATTATTTATTATGTATTCAGTGGACGTGGGTAAGTATATTTAATTTTTAACAATATATTTAATAGATTTCACTTGTTTTTATTCATTAACTTATTTATTAATCTATTATCATTTAACTTTAAGATTTTATTAATTGTATATTTTAACTTGATCTTACGTGTTAACCTATTTATTAATCTTTTATTGTTTAACTCAGATTATATTAATTGTATATTTTAATTTGCTTTTAAGGAATTGATTTTATAGATTATAACTTTTTACCATAATTTATTTTATATATTTTAACTTAATTTTAAGCAATAGATTCTATAGATTTTAACTTCATTTTATATTTTAGCTTAGTTTTAAGATAGATTTTCACTTAATCATTAACTTTTTATATTATAACTTTGATTCTATTGATTTTATATTTTAACTTATTCTTAAGCAATTGATTTTAATTTTTTTAGCTTGTATTCATTTTACATTTTAACTCTTTTTAAGCATTTGATATTAATCTGATATTTAAGTGTTTATGTTGGTATATATGCATGTCTCTCCTGTTTAGTTTTCATTTATTTATATACAGGTTCACTCTCCTTTAGATAGTTTGTTTTAATCATGCATGTGGTACACATGGTCTTGAATTTTGAATGGACTTCAGAACAATGAATGAAATCGAGATTGGCCAGAAAATTTGGGTTCTGAGAACTGGAGGACCTGCTCAGGAGGCTGTTGTTGCTGTTGTGATGTCTGTGGATGTTGCGGGAGGTGGCAAAAAGAAATTTGTAAAAGTCGAATGGCCAGACACAGAAGGTGTACTATTGGGAAAGACAGTTTCGATAGATGATGTCTTTCCAGCATCACCAAATGTTCCACAGAATGTCAAGGAGGCGAACAGAGAGCAGGAGGACGAAGTTATATGACCTGATAATAAAGTTTGTCCCATATGTGGGCTTTCATTTAAGGGTGAAAGAGGTCTTGGAACCCATATTGCAAAAAAACACCCCAGGGAAGCTAACACCAATATACTGAGGGGCATAGTGAAAAATGTAATAGGTCCTAAAAATGGAGAGGGTGAGGTATCAAAAATAAAAGAGGAAATTATTGGATGGTCTACCATGTTCAAGAATCTCTTAAAAGAAAACACGATGAATATTGCGGATTTTGATGAGGCCGTAGGCAGGTTCCTGAAATTTCTCAAGAATATCAATGCAGAACTGCTAGGTCCCCAGCACCCAGCCGTTAAATTTTACAGAATGAGAAAAAAAAATAAAACGAAAGTGGCTGACAAGGGTGCTGGACAAGTCCCAAATCCGCAAAGAGCGAACAAGGTAGACAGGAGTCGTCGGCAAAAGCAGTATCAATATGAGGTTGCACAATATAATTATTATAATAAAAGAAAAAAGGTTGTGCAAACTGTTATGAATGCCGACACTCCTAAGAGGTGTCCTCTAAAGATGGCTGATATCGAAAAACATTATAAAACTTCTTTGAGAGCGAAAATCTCTGCGAGGGTGCGGATTACGAACAGTGTGCCCCGATGCCAAATTTGGTGTCCATTGAGCTAGAAGCTGTCAAGAAAGCCATTAAATCAACATCAATGGGCACATCGCTGGGGCCTGATGGAGTTCTTATCCGCACGATTAAATATTTTGATGTAGCAAATATTATCAAAACAATTGCAGAGATAATGCTGAAGGTGGCCTATGTCCTAGAACCACTTTGACAAAGGCACACAATATTAATATATAAGGGGAATAGTGATGTAAACAATATCTCTACCTGGAGACCCATCACCATTTATTTTATTGTGCGCCGAATCATAGAGAAGGTTCTGGACCACAAACTAAGAAAGCAGGTCACCTTCCACAGGAATCAGAGGGGCTTTATAAAAGGCCTCCCGGGAACGCACGCCAACGCAAGGATTATCGACGCTATATTGAAAGATGCAAAGATTATGAAAAATGATTGTGCGGTAGTATTCCTTGATGTTGTCGGTGCTTTTGACAATGTTGGCCACAATCATATCGTGAGCTCCTTAGAAGCAAGAGGTGTGTCGCCGGATCTGAAACACGTTATATCGGCTCTCCTCTGCACGAACACAATCAAGATTAGTAACGGTGTTCACGCAACTAGCCAAATAAAAGTGCTGCGTGGAGTACCCCAAGGTGGCCCCTTGTCGTCGTCGCTCTTCAACCTGGCCATCGACCATCTCTATTGCGACCTGTGTGATGAAGAATTTTCAAAAAAATTTGGATATAAGTTAAAAAATGACCAAGGTTGTGTGGTCCTCACAAGTTTCGCGGATGACCAGGCAGTGTTGGCGCGTGACAGGGGGGCTGCAGAAAGAGTCATTGGCAGCGTTCAGAGGACGTTTGAGGAAATTGGTTTGGCTATAAATACTCAAAAAAGCGTGAGCATCGTTATAAATAAAGGAGAGCTAGAAACAGCGATGCTCTCCATTGAGAATGGATAGTACATCCAAATATTGCAGAATGGAGATACAATCAAGTATTTAGGATGTACATTCTCGGGAGAGCTACAGTTCAACGAAGGTTTGGTGACCAAATTGAACGACAATCTCAATAAACTGGTAACCTCTACCTTGCTTAAGCCGGAGCAGTCAATCAGTATCTGTTCCTGGGTCTTACTTACCCTCTCCAAACTGCGCCCCTCACAAAGCTACGTCCTGCCATACTTGACAACATCGACACCATGATTCACAGGAGTGTGAACGCTATTGTTGGACTCCCTGGGAACACTTCCACAGCGATGTTATACGCACCTAGGAGGTATCGAGGATTAGGATTAATCCGCTGCCAATGGAAGGCTACTCGACAACATTGGTCCATTGTTCAGTGACTGTCCAATGTTTCCGATGCCCTTTTCCAATCGATTTTCGATTATTCGGCTGAGGTTGCTGAATGTACCGAGAGATTGGGGGTTGATCGGGATATTAGAAACATGAGAGCTCTACGGCAGCCGTTTTGAGAAAATTCGTTTGAGGAATGGATCAATTGCAGGTGGCAGGGCATTGGAGTTTGCCATTTTAAAGAGACCCCGAAAGCCAACAAATATATGTATGATAAGCAAGTACTTTCTGGGTCTGAATGGTCAAATGCCCTGAAACTAAATATTAATTGTGCACCCCTGCGTGGAGTCCCAGGTGTCAGCGGACAGGTAAGAGAAGTTGGGTCCCTCTGTCGCAAATGCGACAGAGAGCCAGAAACACCAGCACGTGATTGGAAAATGCCCCAACAACTCCTCCTTATAACACGCCGTCACCACAGAGTTAAACATGAACTGATGAGGCTCCTTAAAGAGAGAGATTGCGCCTGTTTCGAGGAAGTATATTGTAGATAGATAGATAGATAGATAGATCCACCTGATATGCCGACATTGTAGCATTCCCTAAGACAGGAAAGTCGACGATGATTTTGGATCCTACCGTGAGGTATGAGACCAATGATCTCGATCAGGCAGGCAAAGTGGAAAGACAGAAAAAAAAGACCTATGAGAAATGCATCCCTTTCCTTTGTGAAAAGTTCCGCGAGATTTTTGGGCCGAGAGAGTTCCACGTGAGAAGCCTTTGGTTCGGAGCTCGCGGAACGATACCAGACTCAACAAGGAGATTCATGGAAGGTCTTGGTGTCAATATAAAGGACGTGGCAAGATTGGTGGAGAATATAATCCTCGACTCCCTGGGAATTCTTCATCACCATGTGCATGGATAGAGAGATAGTTTGTTCATGGGGGGAGGCATGTGTGTTTTACAGCATTTTTACATTATTTATTGACCAAGTCCACTGCACTTTATGTATTTGTATGCATTTTATGAATTAGGTTGGGAAGAGAGAGGAAAGAATATAGGAAATGAGAAAAATGTATAAGGGGAGAGAAGGAAGAGAAAGGGATATATAATGCTAATAAATGAATGAAAGAAATAGTAAAAAAAAAAAAAAATATATATATAGAAAAAAAAATATATATATAAAAATAATTGTATACTACGCTCATAAATATTGTTAATGCTATATAATTGTATAATAGTTTTGGAAAATTGTCTATAGCGATTAATAAGTATGCTGTGTTTAAAGCAACCCAATGTAATTGGGCAGCACCCTTTTATGATAATAAAGTGATTCTCTCTCTAGTTATTATATTTGTAATTCATTTAGGTTTTACTATACCATAATTTTTAAGGTTTTTTAGTCAAGAAGTTATATCATCTCTAAACAAAATTAAACTAAAATAAATAATAAAGTAAATGTTTTAGTCAAGAAGTTATATCATCTCTAAACAAAATTAAACTAAAATAAATAATAAAGTAAATGTGAAATTATTAATAATTTTGTTTTAACACTTTTTTAATAATTAGCAAATTGATTGGGTTAAGTGCAATTATGTTTCAAACCTCTTTTTTTACATTTCTTTGTGTCTGATGGGCTAAGTGATTTAGCTAATACAACAAAAGGTATTCCTCCTTTATAATAAATAGCCCTATCAGTGGGCCAATTAGAAAAAAAGAAAGAATGAAATTAGGTTTTAAAATATAACTCAAAATTTACAAAACTGCCACTACCCCACTACTCACTAGTACCACATATTTATAATGTATAAATTACAATAATTTCAAAAAGAAGTATCCAAAATGTTTTGGAATTCAATGACTGATTGAAATGTCCCAGAACCTTTCATACAGTTGTAATTTCATATAAGGACTCTTGAGGTAATCAATTATATTGTCTTTGCTGAGTTCACCCTAATTTCCTTTTTTTCTTTCTGTAGTTGTTTGGCCAAACGTCTATTGAAGTTATATTGCTGGTTTATTCCTTAATCTATGAGATTAATAAAAATGATAATATTTGTTTTAAATGATTAGAGTTCTTGAGATAAAGCAAAATGTGTTTAGACGTCTTGGTGTGACATATTGTCTCCAATTAATGTGTCTTTTCAGGAATGTTGATATGATATGTGCTGTAATATAAATCATATTAGATTTGAGAATAATTAAAATATATTCACCGAAACAAGAACCACCAGTGAAGTGGTATCCTTTCATGCACACCTCAGTACATACAGGCCCCTCAGGTAATATTATGCAGCCTTGGTTAGTAGAACATTTCAGATTAGTACATGTATCTGTAAAAAATAAAATAAAGAAAAACCTTAATTCATAAAAATAAAGATTTAAGAAATAAAATAAAGATGAAGGTTAAAAAATTTACTATACTCAACAGAAATAAAACTTGCATGGACCTAGAGGAGCAATCTTCAGTAATAGAATTGGAGATGGTGGGATTTTGTTGACTGGCCTACAATGGGGGCCTCCTGGTGTAGTGAAGAGTGAGATGTGAGCTTGAATGCTTTACTCAAATATTTTTAGTTTTGAAACAAAAATTAGGAAAAATACTGATCCTATTAGGACAGTTAAAGGTACATTTATAGTAAATCCTTTTAAAATTATTCAAACAACGAACGTTTTCAGTAGTCCCAATGCTTGAATCACAAATTGCAAATAATTAAAAAAAAAAAAAACTAATCTACTGATTTTATTTCAGCCTTTTCCTCGATTTGAAAACCTCTTTAAAAATGTAGACCTTCGGTTTGTCAGTTTTTCCAAGATATATATTATAATAAAATAAAATATATATTATAACCATAACATTTTTCAGCGGATCCACAGTCATAAAAATTTAAGCGGCTATATCAAACAGATTAAGGATGATATAGACCAAGTGGGGCTAAGAGACCAAGATTGTTTGGACAGGAAGGCACTTAAGGGAATAACGGTTCTTGTGGGAAAGAAGCGCTCCAAAAAGGGTGTTGCGTGGTCTGAGGAAAGAAAATGTAAGCACGTGGAGCTGATGAGGGGCATATGGGAGAAGAGGAGGCAGATGAAGAGGAAGCATTAAATTTGTGTGGTCTTTAAGGCCTGTTCGTGAAAAAAAAAAAAAAAAAAAAAAATAAAATATAATTATATTTTAGTTATATATCAGTTATTGCTTGGAAAACACGCTTTCTGATATCTTCTTTCCATTGATGTTATATCTTGTTGAAATCGCTCACCATGTTCGTCACATACAGATTCACAATTTTCGGGAAAGAAGTCCAAATGAGAGTGAAGGAAATGAATATTGAGTGACATGTTATAATCGAGATCTCTGTACTTCTCAAGGAGGGTTTGGACTAAGACAGCATAATTGTCCTCTCTTTTATTACCCAAGAAACCATTAACTAAAGCTGTAAATGCATTCCACGCTGTGAAGTGGAGGCAAAATGATTTTTCCAGGACCCACAAGAGGGTTGTAGACAACATTTTTTTGTCCAGGGGCCAGGAGTTATCTTTGAGGCCATTCTTTCCTGATATTAAGAGATGCTCTGTTCCACTCACATCAGAAATAACAGCACTTAGTATATCCCTGTTGCATGCCTAGAAGAATTTCCACCACTTTCAGGTCCCCACAGATTTACCATTGGTATTCCTGGTATTTGATGGATTTTAGAAGGGTTTTCATGTTTTGTTAAGTTTCCTTCATGTGGACATTATGGCCAATAGAGATAGAGAGAAGTAAATTGCCATTGTGCAATAGAACTGCCTGAGAGATAGTTTCGATGGATCTATGAACAGCCTTCATTCAGAAGGGTCCTGATTGAGATTTAATGCTATCATCAGACCTGGAACATCATAACAGGCAACAATGTTCTCATACTTTTTGAAAAAGGGGATCAAGTCTTTCTGACGATTTTTGTACATTGTAATCTTTACACCAGGTTATAAGAAGTTCCAGTGCTTCAATCTTTAACCCAAAAGTTCTGCTTTCTCTTTGGGCAGATCCAGGTCCCGAACCAAGTTACTGAGTTCAGCTTGAGTAAGCAAATGGTGTTTTCATTCTTCTTGTTCAAAAGAAAAATCAGAATCATCTGATGGGGTTCCTCCTAGGGGGGTTTCCTCTTTGTCATCCTCCTCCTCATTCAAGTCATAATGTTCAGGAGGTCTTGGAACAGGCAACTAGGTGTGGTATTAGCCGTATAGCAGAACGAATGTGGAATACTTCTCTTTTTTCGAGACATTCCATGATGAAGAGGAGGGGTCATGCAAAAGTAGCAGACGTCAGTGTTATTAGTAGGCACCTTCCACACCATGGGAACAGCAAAACGCATGAATGACCTTTCTTGTTCAACCATTCTCTTAAGGTTACGCTACATGTGATGCAGCAGATGTGCTGGGCTCAGGGTTTATCTTGGTCATCAACCTTCACCCCAAAATACTTGTGGTATGCTGTTTTGATCAACTGGGTGGTAGGACGATTTTGACTTGCAAAAGTTACTTCTCCACAAATGTTACAAAAATTGTCAGGAGCATTCACACGCTTTCTGGGCATAGTAACTTCACCAAAACTACTAGGTTAGAACGACGAAATCGTTGAAAGAATGCCTGAAGCAAGAAAAATCACGTCAAGATTAACTTGAAATGTAAACACTGCATACAACCGTCAGCAAAATGGTCCTGTGATTCACACCTAGTCGATTCCCGCGATTCACAGACAGAAATCAATCCTACCAACCCAGGAGCAGGAATATTATGCAAAAGGTAACTATATCTTTGAAACTAGAGGTAACTGATGATTTTTATGTGGAAGTTCGAATTTCTTACACCAAGAAATATGGTGAAATAAAGATTAAAGAATGAGGCTGTTTTCAAGAGAGATACAATATCAATGTAGAGCAGTGTTATATAAACAAACTTTTTGGAAGTTGAAATATTTATATTATTAGTGTCAATCTCTTTTGTAATGAAATAGTTTACCATGGTTAGGGGGAACATTTGGATGACCTACTCGGTTACATTGACGCCATCTCAAGCGTGATCTTCGCCGTGATCGATTTTACTCATTTCTACGATTTTCTCGAAAACGGCTCTAACAATTTTGATTAAATTCATTATGTCAGTTTAAAATTAACAAGTTTTTAATATAATTTAGGTTTAATACTCATCGATACTCTCTAACAGGGCTTAAATGGCTAATTATAAATATTTTTTCCTCTAAAGTACCTTTAATTTGAAATAATTAATCATTTCACAATTAACTCTGATATAAAAATAGTTAAATATAATATGAAAGAATTTGATAATTAACTAAAGGAGAAATGAGAGATTGTAAAGAAGAATAGTTTTAATAAAAATACCAAAGGAATACGAGCTCACCCGAAAGATTGGAATACGCTTCCATATGTACCACGTACTTAATATAATACAATGCTGTGTGGAGGTCGAAATATCCTAGTGCTTGGAGGAAGGCTGAGGTTGTCCCAATTCTCAAGAAAGGTAAATGTTCTTCTTGCCCATCTAACTACCGACCTATATCGCTCACAAGTGTTTTTTCTAAGCTCTATGAGAGAATGGTCCTAGCTCGGTTGCAGATATATCTTGATAGAGAAAACAAGATGTCATCAAAGCAAGCAGGTTTCCGGAAGCACCGATGTACAACTGAGCAGGTGGCTCGTTTTAGTGAGGATGTAAAAGACGGATTCCAACGCAAACAACATACTCTTGCAGTATATGTTGATTTTAAAGCTGCTTTTGACAGAGTCTGCCGGAAAGTACTTCTGAATAAACTCCTCAAAATGAACATCAGCGGAAAAATGTACCGAGCCATACGTTCCTTCTTGGCTCAGAGGTTTCTCAGAGTAAGATACAATGGCTGGTGTTCAGGCTTCAGAACTTTTAGTCAAGGAGTTCCACAAGGATCTGTTTTAAGCCCCACACTCTTTAATATAATGATTGATGACTTAATGGCTGTACTCGAGGGAATACCCGGAATATCTGCTCTACTGTTCGCTGATGATCTACTAGTATATGCGACTAGTAACAACATAACAGCACTCGAAGCAGCAATTAATGAGGCAATGGCAAGACTTTTTACCTGGGCCAAGTGTAATGAAATGGAAGTAAATGCGCAGAAAACTGAATTCCAACTGTTCACCTTATCAACAAAAGGGTGCGAGCTGGAAATCATCTACAATAATGTTCCCTTACCAAGAACCTATGCAGGTAAATATCTGGGAGTTAAGTTAGATACAAAAATGATCTGGAACAGACAAATTGAAGAGATGGTGGAAAAGGGAGAAAACAGGCTAAAACTTCTGAAACGCCTTGGAGGAAAGACATGGGGGGCCACCCAGGATGTGATGGGTCTTGCATATAAAACCTATGTACGCCCAGTACTGGAATACGGTTCTGAAGTCATCTGTACTGCGGCTGATGCATCCCTGAAAAGATTAGACGAACAGCAGAACAAAGCTCTGCGTTTGATTTTGGGTGCACCGCGCTGAACCCCTGTTGTAGCTATGGAACTGCAGACCACAGTAGAACCTCTATCGAAACGGCGTGAGCGAGCTGCAATGTGCCTTCACGAGCGAATGAAAAGAATAGACCAAGAGTTTTGGAAAAAATACAAAATCCCCTCTCAGCGGCACAAGACACAAAAATCCTTCATGCTGAAGGTGATGGCACTACTTGAAGAAAGAGGGCTTGACTGCGAAGAAAGGGAACCTTTTATACATCCACAGTTACCAATTCACAATCACGCATTCAAAGCAGAACTGCAACTCCTTCATAAGGTGGATAAGAAAAAAACACCTGAATACGAGCTAAAAGCATTAGCATTAGAAACCATAGCTCAAAAGTACCCTTCTCAAGATTGGTTCCATATCTATACCGACGGATCAGCTGAATCAGCCGTTAAAAATGCTGGAGAATGGGTTTACTCAAGGGAATTCCAAATCAGCGCTGCGGTGGGTAAACATGGAACAAATTTCGACGGTGAGATAGCGGCGATCCTCATAGCCTTAAGAACATTGTCTGGAAGGCGGGATCAGAGCGCTGTTCTCTTCATCGACTCCCAAGCAGCCGTCCTTGCTGTAACAAGCACGAATGAATGTTTATCGAGTGCTATATTGGAATGTAAATCCCTCCTCTCTAACCTGACACACCGAGGCACCAATGTGGTCCTACAGTGGATCCCCAGCCATTGTGGGATTCCGGGTAACGTTGAGGCTGATATTCTTGCCAAGCGAGGAACAGATTTGCCCCAGCCGATACATCCAAAACCTTACGACTCAATACGTCGAATGGTGAA